TTATTTTTATCATAGTGTTTATTTTCTGTATTTGATTTTTAATTCAAGTGTGGTAACGAATGTGGATGTAGTGCCCAGGCAAATGTTGTTTAGTTTATTTTTCTCCGTAACATATTTTTTTTCGAAAAGTTTCGAGAACTTTGGTTTTTTTTTTTTTTTTTTTTTTTTGGTCCGCGTTTGGCCCGAGCGGCCGAACGCCTTCCGAAGGGGTCCCGTACGTTCGGGCATTCGGGTTCGGGCATTCGGCCCGTCCCGAACGCCAGCAACCCTGACAAGAACAATAATATAACTATCACTAAGGATACTAATAGACAAATTTATACTAATATAACCTTAAAAAATTAATAATAAAAAATAATAATAATAAAAAAGAGAAGCCTTTATAGTAATAATAAATAAATCCCTGTAAATCAGTACTTAACTTAAAATATATATATAATAAAATTAATAAAACCCTTTAAAACAGAACAGCAAAATAAAAAATAGAAAATTTGTTGTAGATAATAAACAAACAACAACTTAGCGGAACATGCACAAGAATAAACGATGTATCTCACCTATGATAAACACAAATGTGAACACAAACATAGACACCCGCTCTCTCTTACTCCCTCGGTTATGGGAACCAAAGCATGGTAATGCAATGAAAAACCGTCGCATACACACACGCAAAAAAAAACCTTTTTTAAAAAAAAACTTACAGACAACCAACAAAACACAACCCAGTCAAGTCGTGTACAACACTACATGAAACAACAATATAGAGAAACGTGACATTCCACATACGACAAGTAGTCGAAACGCCACTACCACCTCATGACAAAACCACTGTGACAATACGACCAACACAGCACAAGGAGCTCCATAGCCAGACCACGATATGACAATACAAACAAAACAAAACAAAAACGTGGACCCTGCGAAAAAATGCGATATGCACTACATTCCTCGGCCACGACTGAACACAACTCCCTGTACAACGCGAACCCCTGACACAAAGCCACTACGCTACCCAGAACCGTAACCTCGTATGACCATACCCAAGAACCCCCTCTGCTCCCCCCTGCCCCCTCCCTTCTGACCCTCGCCCTCTCTATGACGCACTGCATACCAAACTACAGCTCGTACGACCCCACCGCCATTGCAGGCTCCCCCTGCGCCCTTTTCCCTGGCTTGTCTGCCTATGTTTACTATGCATATCCTATCACGCCCTCATACTATACTCCTCCTGCACTCACCCATCTGTTACGGTGCACGCGAACTCCTCTGGATCAACACGCATCTCTGCCAATACTGTGCGTTTCTCGCACAAGCACACAACCAGGCAAGCTGACCCGGTGTCTGTGGCTGGTAAGGCACACTTCTGTGTCTGTCACACTGCGCTTCGTACAACAAAGTCCCTGATCTCTCGCCTTAAATTGGTCGATTAAGCTATGGCGGCGACTAATACGACTGCAGCACCAGTCATGACCTCTCAGGTATGGATCTCATGCATCCTAGCCTCTAACTACGTGTGTTGTATCTCTTACAGACCCTTGATTACGATGCCCTCTCACCCCCTACGCTAACAGGAGCCTAATGACTAATCTCTATGATGAGTTGTTATGGGGGTTAGGTGGCAAAAAACGTGCTTTAGGGCGTGCACCCCCCCTACGGTTGTGTTCCCATACCCTCTCCTAACCCATGCTAACACTAACCTTTCAAATATGCTCCAAACATTGCGATGTTCCTGTAACGTCTGTGTAACTATACAATGACACACGGTAACTTCTTGTGTCCCATTTCCATATGGGGTGGCCGTGGTACACACACCCTCCACACACATTCCCGGATGATTTATCCAGTCGCCAAGTTTGGGGTCGACTCCCCCGCTCGCTAGACTTTACCTACGTCATTACTAACTACCTACAGATATAAAGGATGATCGACTGATGATACCCCCGCAAAACCCAGGCACTCTAATCATCTGCTTGATATCATACATCAGTGTAAATCCACAATACATTATATATCCTAAACCCCACGCCACAATTACTAGACACGACGCCAACTTCATTACACATAGTGCTTTGCATACGGGATTGATTAAGACTAATACGCGCATTTCCCGGTTATTCAAGTTTGTGGTTAAAACCCCAGGCTGAGCCCATTATACCACATTGCTACCCTCGCCTATTATCCAACCTCCCACCCCCGCACCCCCACCCCCGCAGCCCCGCACCCCCACCCCCAACCCCAACTTTCACAACCGTCGCACATATTCACTTCCTACCAAATTCAGGTCCCTACCCCAACTTCCCTCACATCGACCCTCCGCGTTGATGGCCAAAACATGTAGGGATTTCCCAGTTGAGAATGGTCCTCTTACCCTACCTAATTATGACTATATCACAAGATATTAAAAATATATCATGCAGTCGGCTCCCGTATTTCCTTTTTTTTTTTCTCTCTTGCACCCCCGTCCGTCACTGTTATTACTCATCCATCCTGCCTTCTCATACGAATAATATGATCAGAGCGCATCTAAAATGCTTTTTGGTCTCCTGTATGATTGATCGACCTTGGATGCCAATCGGCTTGGCCACAAACAAACTATAGGCAAATAGATACTACGAACCAAATAGGAGGTCACCCTACCAATCAGATGCGCTACCAATTAAACCAATAAATAAAAAACAAAGATCTTAGTTTACCGACTCTTCTCACATTAGTTTGTGTTCTCTTTGCAAATTGTAAAAATTATTTTGCTAACACTCTTACTAAGCTTCGTTTAGTAAAAAACTTTTTCTTTCCCTTTCCCTGCTTATGATTAAGCTTTGGTTGCATGCATAGTCTAAAACTTTTTGCTACGCTCTAATTTAGCCGAACCCTCACATTGGTTTGCGTCTTCCTTCTCCGGAGACCCTTCGCAAAATGAAAGAATTCCTTTGTGTTCTCTTTCTCACATGCTCTTACGATTGTTGTCCCCAAAATACTTTTTTTCGCATTAGTCTGTGTTCCTTGTCACATTCTTTTGCGTACTCTTTCCCCACAAGCCTTTACGTTTGCTGTTCTCAACTTCTGCGTTCGCTTTCCCCACATGCTGTTACGACTGTCTTTCCCCACATCTTTTCGTATTGATTAGTGTTCTTCTTTTCCCGAAACCTTTTTGCAGATTGAAAAAAAAAAAATTTGCGGCCTCTTTTCCCATATTTTTATTCTTACTGTTCTCAAATTTTTTTTTTTGCGTTCTCGTTCCCCGAATAGCAAAATTTAGCCTGAAGGTCCAAACATCAAACCACCGTTTGGACAATCTGCCCACCCCCTTCCCCCCCCCCCCCCCCCCATTTTTATTCTTACTGTTCTCAAATTTTTTTTTTTGCGTTCTCGTTCCCCGAATAGCAAAATTTAGCCTGAAGGTCCAAACATCAAACCACCGTTTGGACAATCTGCC